ATAGCGTTTGTTATAGTGCGTCTGTGGAAATTAAGTGTATTGCAAAGTTGTATTCAAAAAGATAAACCAGTTTTATTTGAGAAAGATATTCTATCGTTAAAGTTTCTTCGAAAAGAATTTTTACGGAAAATTAACTAACGACCAGAGACGTAACAATATTTTATTATACTAATGAGCATCTGCATTGTTTACCCCATTCTTTCTTGGTTTGTGTGTTTTTTAGTCAGCGTTATTAAGAAACGTTTTCATGTATTTGTTTCAGTATTCGTTTAAAATTAGGTTTGCGATTATATAGAAAAATATTATCATGCAATTATCACATCATCAGCGTAATGTTTCACTAACAAGCTCTAATATCTTCTAAAATACTTTCACAAGTTGAAAAATCACGAGAAATCGAAGCGCTGTACACAAGAGTTAAATGTTGAGATTAAAAAATATATATACTTGAGAGTTACTTTACGTGACACGTGGCCTAAACGGTCAAATCAGATTCCTAGGGTTTGAGTGTAGCTATCCCTAATTTGGGGCTACCGATTAGAAACAAAAGATAGCCAATTAGCAGCACTCGCCACCATAATGGTTTTATCCGGTATTGAGATGTATAAAGGAATTGACTGCCACTTTTATATTGGAATCACATCTGAAAGCGTGGAGCGTTTCCAGCGGTATCGCGACGCAAGCTGTAGACTTCCCAAATCTCAGGCTAGCACATTAACAACTAAGCCACGTCTGGCTCGACATAAAAAGGAAGGTTTTAATGATAAAATAAACACAGACACAGTTTTTTAGTTTCATAAAAAGCATTGCGTTTAATTCGTCCAAATTAACACCTGGATTCATGGACCAGTAAAATGAAAAATTAAAAAATCTACTTTATATCTTGAGTTTTTCAACATGTTATTACTGAGAATATAAAGGCTGTTTTTCTGGACTTTAAAGTTAATTTTAATATTTTTTCATTGGCAGATAGTTATTGAGTTAATTATTCTTTTTTTCGTTTTTATGCTTATCTAGGAAGAAAAACGATTTTTAATTTTTTCAATTAAGATTGTTCAATTCACCATAAATGTAACATTTTAGTCAGTCAGTTAATTTCAAAACAGGGAAATTACAAAAATAAATTTATTACAGGCTGATTTTTGCATTTCGCTACATGATATACATAAACTGAATTGCATGTTGTTAATTTAAACTGTCTCAGGTAATCTTATACAAAATGTTTTAACAGTATAGTTAGTAAATAATTGTTGGTACCAATATTAAAATGTTATAGATCTATTTTACATTTTGCTATTTTTTATCAGTCTCTCATTCTTGCAAAGTTGTCTTAACAAAGCAGTCCAAAATATCTTTAGAACAATACATTTGTTTGTATCAGAAACAAAAATTTTTATCCTTAATTCTGCTGAAAAATACATCATTCTTTAAATCATCTTATGTAGATTTGGAAACAAAACGTCAGGTGGTAATAAAAACCGATTTTGTACAATACAGAGCAATATCAATCAAAATTAAATATGTCTTACTTTTCTCTTTGCTCAAACATACATCTATAATTTGATTGTATAGATAGTAGTTTACAGAATGAACTGCTAATTTATAATTTCTGGTTTTTTCTTATCATAGTCATTTAAAGCTGTAGAAAATGAAACAATGGAAACACATGTTTCTGCTGACCCATTTCTGGTCATAACGCTGGCTTCACATATGCACATTACCCTGTGACAGTTGTGACATTTAACTAAATGTGAGTGTTTGATTAATAGAAGTAAGTTTCGGAGTAGCCTGGCAACCCGTCGATTACATACAAATGCAAAGAAAATAAAAAGTCCTTGAAGGCAGTTAAATCCAAGAAAAAGATATACCAAGATTTTCCGTAGGAGCCCTCCATCAGGAATTATCGCAGAGACAAAACCAAAAATCCAAGTAAACCCCATTACTGTTGCCATTCTGGTATAAAGAATGACGTCACTCTTACCATGCGCGTGTTTAAGACCAATTCTAATTTTCTTTTGAACAAGCAAGACAGACGATATAGTTGAAATATAAAAATAAAGATTGCAAATCATAATCACAGCGAGAGGTGTTGCAAAGAAAAGAAGAGCAGCATATCGATTAGTGATCCAGCAGGTATCATCTGCCCCATACTTTGGAGCTATTACTTCCCAGTTACACCTGTCAGCTGCAAAAGCAACTGCTACTATGACCATTGGTAAGCCGTAAGCATAAGTCATGTACCGAGGAAGATACTTTATTTTGCTTCGAATAAATGGCAAGACTTTTTGGTGACCAAAAGTCTGATAAAGATCAAAAGCCATGACATTCATCCAAAAAAAAGTAACCAATATCTCGTAGTGAAACATAATTCCTGCCAGTGTACATGTCGTTCCGGTTACCTCTTTTCTTTGTCCAACTAAAAAACTCACTTGCATTATGAGCAATGAAATGGTTAGGTTTAATGTGTTGCAACCGGGAAGATTTCGAAGTTTTGGAAACACAACATATGTAAGAAGTACAACAGTCAATGCTACTACTGAAATACATGTGAGGACCAAGCTAACGTAAGCCTCTGTTCGGTCAAAATTCAGGTAGTAAAAATGTTCTTTTCTGAGCAGAAACTTGAGTTTTTCTGAATCATAGCAAACCAAGATGCTACCATTGTATGTTATTTCATACTGTGACAAATCTAGACAAGCTTTTAACGTTGAATTACCATAATAAACTAATGTCTTGTTTGGTAGAATCTGAAACTCTTTTTGCTTTAGTTCCATCCTAGGACATGAAATATTCAAGGATTCTCGCTCACACACCACAACAACTCCACTCACGTTTATCGAACTTCCTAGGTCTCTGTGCCCTTGGAATAGAATATTAGCAACGAACTCACCTTTCTCATAAATTCTGCCAGTTCTATTGATGTAGACAGATCTCACCCACGTATCGACAGCAGTAAAATTTTCGTTTAAGATCAAGGTGAACTCCTGGTTCCAGTATTCTAGTTGTTTTCCACCAGATCCAATGCCACACCAATCGCTCATAGCTTCTACGTTTTCATGAATTTCAAAGACTTTACTAGTTTTGTTGTGAATATCCAGGTAAAATGTGTTTTGAGCCACAGACGAAGACATACTGGATACGATGCTGTCTACGGATGGTTCTGACTTTGTAAGATTTCCATAAGGTTCGAATAGCTTGAATTTGACTTTGAGCACCACAGGATTGGCAAAAATGCTGTATGAGAGAAATTCTTCAATCTGTTTATTAGTTGAGATTTTGTACTCTATCTCTTTTTGTGTGTCATTAGGCATTATAAATATTGTTTGCATAGTGATATGAATATCTTGAATACGATTTGTAGTAATTTTATACACTGTAGCCAAGGAGGTTCTGACTGATTCATTAAGATCAAATTTTCCATTTTTAACTAAGTCCAGTGCATCCAAATAATCCATTCTAATGATAAGAACTAACATAACATACTTTGAATCGACATCTGCTAAAATTACATCTCCTCCGACATCAGAGTTTTTCTCGTCGTCAATTTCATTCTTGTGAACACAGCGGAAATCAACCAATATGAACTCGGTGCTGCAGTACAATTTACGACAAATATTACTGAATGGATCCCACATTTGCCCTGGTTTACAACGTGCCATGTTTCTTCTCATTTCTTCCTCTCCCTCAGAGGAAAAAATAATTCTTTCCTTCCCGTCTAACCCAAAGTTAAGCAAAATTGAGAAAGCTGCTGGAATGTCGTGTTGAACTTTGTTCCTTGTTCGATACGATGGTATTTTACCGGCATGTAAATTATCAAGTTCAGTTAGCCAGTGTTTGGAAATACTGTTTAGTGGTTCATTGAAAGACGAAAAATTCCCAGGATCATGAATAATCCAAGTAAGACAAGATAACATATCCAAATTTTCTCCATTACATAGTGCACAGTAGACGTTCTTATAAAGTGTTTCTGCTTCTTTAAGTTGTCTGGAGGTTCGAGAAACTATGGTTCCACTGTGAACCAAACAGAGCCAGTCTAATTTATAGCCTTGAAGCTGTAGCCCCTTATATTTACAGCTACTTATCGAAGGAGAGCAGTGACGTTTTAGTTTTTGCTTCTTTTTTCCTTCAAAGTAAGGAGACTTCGAATTGCTGTTTTGTAATACATGAACATTAGTATAATTTTCATTTGATGTAACATACCAGTTATTTTGGATATTGAAGTCCTGTTCTGAAACAACGATTGTAACACCATTGCAATCTGCGCATTTTTTATTGGCGTATAACAGACCATCCTCTCCGAGCACAAGATTAACAGAGACGTTTTTATCCACTCCTTCACACATGTTTTTGACAGAATCATTCATTGAAAATGTAGGACATGCATCTACGATTAAGTATGGCCAAGACAACTCATCTTCCACCCAACAAGTAGGGTATCTTCTGTTCATTCTTTTGCTCATTCTCTGAAAGATTTCTAATGTCTCGTTTGTCCTGCAATGGGTCAGAAAGTCTACACAACAATCTCCATAGGTCAAACACATACTATCACAATAACAGTAAAAGGTTAAATGGCTGAAATCCTGACCGCAACGACCAATGCAAGAATCCCAAGGATAACACAATGGATTTATTGGAAATTTCAGGTTGTTCATCACTGTAACATTCTGGGACCTTTGGTTAGTTACAACATGACTTTTGCTGCGAGAAAGTGCAGCTAGAAAAGTATGTTTGCTAGTCAGACCAAGATAAGGGCTTTGAAGTGGTAATGTAGCAGCTTGAGTTGCTGGATGGCTCATTTTCTTTCTCACACGTGTTGCTACTGCCATATAGTGTCCTGTTCCAATCAGCAGAAATTCGATTATCCATAAAAACAAAAAGCACTTTTTGAAGAACCTCATCCCGAGAAATAAGTAATTTTTTAAAATAAAATTAGTTTGAATACTCCAGTAATATCTTCGCTATTGAACAGTTTTTAAAAGACACTCTAATACCATTAATCTTACTTCTCATCTAATATACACAACAACGTTATCACAGGACTAATCCGTGATGCTGGAGAACCTAAGAAAACATCAGATGCTTACAAAAATATTTTTGTGATGATTTTTTCATTCAGTTTGTTAGTTCAGTATTAAAAAAGCCACATGTTTCATGACGGCGTTTAACACGTTTCATGACGGCGTTGATACTTCACCATTTTAACGTTATTTTCTTAAATTATAACTTCACAAACTCCTTCCAACACTTCATTTTTCATTTTCAGTTTTTAAGATACGTACGACTTGGTCAGTACAAAACACTTGTCTCTAGGTAAAACTGTTTTTGTTCAATTATTTCACAACAAGGTTTTGTCTGTTTACCCACAAATTTTAGTACATACTAACTTTTCATATCTATTTGACTTGTTTCATCAGCAGTTTTCTCAAATGAAAATATAGTTATTAATTAAAAAAAAAAAGACAAAATAAAATGCGCTTACAAAAACTGATTTCAAACTTGATTTAATAGCCTTTGAGAGAAACAGCCTACGGGTTTTCTTATCGCCTGATTCGAACTAGTTCCGACTAAACAGTTACTCAAGGGTATCACTGGATAAACTGCTTAGAAATTATGTTTTTTGGGGGGGTACGTTATCATAATTTCGTCATTGGTTAACAGATGGCCAATTTCCAACCTTTCCTGTAGAAAACTGTAGAAAGACTATTCAAGACAAGCACACAAGTTTTTGCTGATTACTTGCTTAAAGGTTATTTTCCAAGGACAACTATGGCGTAAAATGCACCTGTTTTTGATATGAAGTTCATATGGAATATTGTGATAAATATTCTTGAATTTTTATTTTTGTATTGCAAGGATTAACTAACGACGCTAAAAATCGAGTTTCGATGCCCATGGCGGGCAGAGTGTAGATAGCCCATTGTGTAGCTTTATACCTAACAGCAACCAAGTACAACTTACGAAAAACACAATTGTAATCTTATATG